TAAAAGCACAGGCAAGTTCCCACTACGTTGTCTCATACTCTCAAAAAAAAAACAGCAGATATGTCACCGCAAAATAATCGAGTATGTGACTTCCTGAACCAAATAAAAATCTCCCAGGAGTTTGTCTGCCTGAACAAAGCACCTCCCACATTTTTAGCTTAAACATATTGTTGTCCTCTGACTGTGGTACAAGTTGCTGTTAAAAAGCATCGATTGAACCCCTTCCAAAGAGGCGTCTCTTTGCAAGTCCAACAGTAGTTGAGAGAGGATATCTTCACAGAAAGCTCTTATTAGTGGTCAGCACTGCTACCCAAACGGCTACCTTCGACAGATATTTTCCCCAAAACCAATTTGAATCCGCCGAAATTTGCCCATTTCTCCTGATGACGAGGCCCCTAAAAATTACTGATTTTGTTGCAGTAGAGGAAGTAATCGGGTGGACAACTTTCTTTCAAACTCATTAACAATAAATGGTCAGTAACTCTGTCAACCAACGATTTTGTGAGTAGAAAATGGGATGAAAAAAACATCTGCACGACATTTATTCCATAATATCGAACTGTCCGTCGCCTATTAACGTCTCGTCCCATTTTCGAAAAAGATGCCTCCGTCGAGCGCACAGTATTTCGGACAAATTCCTTTTTCGCCATCTTTACCCGAAGCACCGGGTGGACCGGGAGCGCCTGGTCTACCCTCAGGACCAGGAGGTCCATCAGGACCATTTGGCCCTTTCGGCCCTGGTTGACCTACAAAACATATTTTCGAAATTCCTTTGAAAATGAGTAAGTCTTCCACTAACCTGGTGCTCCATTGGCTCCTGGCTGTCCTGGAATCCCCGGAGGGCCGACTGGTCCTTCATCTCCAGGGGCTCCCGGCTCTCCTTGTATAGCATGGCCGGGAATTGCTGGAGTTCCAGCTTCTCCCGGTGGTCCTTGTACACCAGGCTCTCCAGGAGGTCCGGGAGGACCTTTGGGTCCAGGTTCTCCAGGGGCGCTGAACACAACAGTCCATTTTCATGCATGTATCTCAAATACTGACATTTCTTACCCGTCATTTCCATTCCTTCCAGGTTGTCCAACTGGTCCAGGCTCCCCAACCGGTCCAGGCTCACCATTGGGACCAGGCGGCCCAGGGGGACATGGTTTACACGGGGGCAGTGTGATTGGCTCACACAAGGCATCAGATGCTTTTCCTGGCATACCTGGCATCCCTGGTGCTCCATGCTTGCCATTCTTCCCAGGTCTGCCTGGTCGCCCTGGGGGACCAGGAAGGCCAGGATTACAGCATGGCTGGCATGCTTGGGCCGCCTCTCCAGCAGCATAAGAGTTCTGACGAGCGATACGAGTGTGGTTGGCTGGGGCATTCTTCAATGTGGTGACTTCGTGCCAAATTTCTTTTGCATGGCTCTATAAATATCACACTCGAGAATATTCAAATTTGAGAAACCTTCGTACATACTCTGCAGAATCCTATCTCGGAGTGCATTTGGTCTCGAACATGCATCACATAACTGTATATCATAGGCACGGTTATCGAAACCTGGAAAGTATAATTACAAAACCAGCTGTATATAATCCGCTAAGTGTATCTGTTGGTGTGTCGGTCGTGGGTTTCACCAGGAAT